GCACTCTTGTGCCCAGGGTAAGTTCACTTGGTGCATTTGCTCATTTGTTTGGTTTTTTTTTACATAATTTCTTCCCTCCAGTGCTGAAGTGACATGTTACACCATGTATGACCTTATTTTGCCTTTCACATGCCTTTTGTCTGTTCCATCTCACATGTATTATCTTTCTCTCTGTCATTGTCCTTTGTCCACCTGTCTTTCCTAGTATTGTGTTTGCAGACTTCTTCCTGATGAATCTAATCCTTTGGGTGGAGGGTTCCTCAGCTGCAATCCCCTTTGGCACTCTGGTGGCCATTTTGGCTCTATGGTTTGGAATCTCTGTCCCCCTCACCTTCATTGGTGCCTACTTTGGATTCAAGAAGGCTGTGAGTTAGGCCTCCTATTTTATTAATTAATTAATTTTGAAATGATTAATAGTAGATGAAATTGTGTTGTGTGTGTGTGTGTGTGTGTGTGTGTGTGTGTGTGTGTGTGTGTGTTTGTGTTTAAGACTGTGTAATCATTTCTTCTACTACTACTGTCCAGGCCATTGAGCAACCAGTGCGAACAAACCAGATCCCCCGTCAAATTCCTGAGCAGTCATTCTTCACAAAGCCTATCCCTGGTATAGTAATGGGAGGCATACTGCCCTTTGGCTGCATCTTCATCCAACTTTTCTTCATCCTCAACAGCATTTGGTAAGAAGACAGGAATGCTGTCCGTCCAGCAAGTCCTATTTGGAAAATTTGTTCTCTGCTATAGCAAAGGCGGAGTTTGGTTCGTTGCTAAATGTTGCTTGCTATCTTTCAGGTCTCATCAGATGTACTACATGTTTGGATTCCTGTTCCTGGTTTTCATTATTCTGCTCATTACCTGCTCTGAGGCCACAATTCTGCTCTGCTATTTCCACCTATGTGCTGAGGTACCTGAATGTTAAGGCTATCTTGTCTCATTTATCAAACTTGAGTTGGGAAAAATTACATAAATTTAAAATAAAGTTAATGTTAATAGCACATACTACAATTGTCATATTGTAGTATAAATAAATATAGACATTGTGTGCTTATTTTTTCTTTTTACATCCCTAACTACATGTTATGCTCATCATATTTTTGTACTGGGTAATTGAGTCAACATCAATATAGCTTATTATTCTGCATTTTCCATCTTCTACAGTTTGAAGTCGACATGTCCTATTTACTGACTCCTAACGTGCTATCTTTTGTAATGTGTGTCCAGGACTACCACTGGTGGTGGCGTTCCTTCCTGACCAGTGGCTTCACAGCAGTCTATCTGTTCATCTATGCCGTGCATTACTTCTTCTCAAAGCTTCAAATAATTGGAGCTGCCAGCACCATCCTCTACTTTGGATACACTATGATTATGGTCCTCATCTTCTTCCTCTTCACAGGTGAGGCTTTGAGTTACGTGACGTGTGCGCTCTTTAAGCATCCACAGTGGTTTCCTGTATGTCTTGACACATGGCAGTAATACTAGGATATCATATTGTGATCGGTTTGCTTTTATTGGTGAGCTCAGTTTGTATAAAAAAATCAAAAAAGATCAGCTATATAAATCATTGACTTTCTTTTTTTAAAATTGTTTGCAGTCTTATTCTCTTCTTTATAATAATTATGAATGCTTACCGTATGTCAGAAAGAAAAAGGGTGTGCATGAATGGCATTGTTTGCTTTACTCAGTGTTTGCTGGGTGTTTGCTCAGTGTTTGTTCAGTATTAGTTGAACTGTATTGTGAAGATTCAGGACTTCTATCCGGTTCCTATGTTGTAAAACACCCGGAAGCAGTCCACACTTTTTTTTTTGTCATTTATTTAAAGCCAAGCCTTGGCCTTTTTATTTGTTTACTGGCAGTACAGTCGCAATGTATCAAATGCAGTTAAAGTTTATTTGCAACGGGCCCATTAAACTCATTTTTGTTTTAAAGCCTAATGAGACTCTGAGAAATGAGACTAAAGTGTTCAAAGTCCATCTTGGTCAGATCTAGTTTTATAGACTTATTTGGGTCAGTTTTACTGTGTGTGGCTTGCTGTAAGAGAAGCCGAGCCATTCGTTCTTTTTTTCATTCTTTTTTTTTCTGTAGATGCAAGGATACAGGCACCACATTCACTCGTTGCCATGGCTGATAATGTGCCTATATGTAGTCAGGGTTCCTGAACACCGCTAATACGATAATTTCTCTCAAAATCCCGCTGTGTGTCTGTGGTTTTGCACATCTATGTACCACACACATTATCACCGAGCTGGAATGAACAGAACATTGTTGACGCTTATGTCTCCATGTTAAAAGAGACAAAGATTGACACATGTTGACATGGTAACAGCACTTTCTTGACTGAACAGCTGTCTTGCATACCCACTCAGATGACACTAGGTTTATGTGCAGAAAAAGGATAATATACAGGACTAGATAACAACCTCATCTTTATGTCGCCTTGGAATATACTGCTCACCATAATGTCAGATGATGAAATTTCTTTTCTGGTGTTATACTGTCATTAGGCCAGATAAAAGTTAGCCTGCAGCCCTGCTTGTCTCTGCATAACTGCTTGACACTATCTTAAAGACAGAGCTGTAAGTAGCGAGGGGACGAGATGTCAAAAGATTATCACCAAGAAATAATCCAAGGATTCAAGCAAAAGATGATCAGTTTCCCTCCTTGCTTCAAGTTTTCATCTAAATAATCCTAATCTCTCTCATTTCCCATTTTAAAGTTTTTATTTTCTTGTCTGTCTTTTTCACCTCATCCCAACTTTGATCACTACTTAATTCGGGATTGGGCTGCGCGGCCCCCATTAAGCAGTCAGATAGGAGTTTTATACCCACATGAATTGATCCAGAATTTGACCAATCTGGCTTCTCAACACTGGGGAAGAATATTATTTTACAAAATAAAGCGCTGGTGTTGGTGTTTTTGCTGTCTTGTGGAGATTGCAGTCCCAACCCTGTCAAAAGTTAGTTTTCAAGTTTTCATGGAAGGAAGTTAGTTTCGCTGCGACAAATCTGAGATTCTTTGTGTCTGTTTCCTTGAAGTACATTAATTTCAGGACTTTTTGGCCTTTCATTAATTTTGTGCTTTGCTTATATTTGTCCCAAAAGCAGCTAGTTCCATTTTGGTGTTAATATTGTCAATGTGATTCCTCGGTTTTTGCTGCTGTTTTGTTATTTTTTATCAAAACATTCATTAATTCATCATTCCTCTAACCTGTCTTCTTTTCTCAGGTACAATTGGCTTCTTCGCCTGCTTCTGGTTTGTAAATAAGATCTACAGTGTGGTCAAAGTGGACTAGACGACTAGAGGGAGAGACTGACTCCTTGCTGTCGCAGTACAGGCCTCATCAGTGCTGGCTGTGTGATAGAGGTCTGAATGGACCTGAACTGAAACCATCACTTATCATAGAAAAGACCTGAAGAGCAGAGCCCGTCCTCTTTTGTGCTTTAAACCTATGTTGCTGTTGTTTTCTTTTTTAAAAAATATATATAATTTTTGTGTTCACTGTTGACCAGTCATATTTTGAGTGGCTCCCTGAAAATCAGTGTGGGTTCCAGTGATCTAGCCGTCAGGCAGTGAGCGGTTTGTTTTGGTGGGTTAACAAGAAGAGCTGAAATGTTTTTATTTTTCCTTTTCTAAAGAAAGTAAAATGTTCTGTATTTTGCTTTTCTATTCCCTTATGGCTAAATGTTTTGTTTTTCATTACCTGTAACGTAATGATGTACATGTACAAATGTGTGTACATATACTGTATAGAGAGAGCAAGTGAGAGAATGCTACTTAAAGTCGTTTGAAACCTGTTTTTTTTTTTTTTTTCATTTTTTTCAAGGTAAAGATGGGGTTATACATTCTTAAATATCAGCCTGTATTGTAGTTCAACTTCAGAAAGTATATAAAACACTGACATTACTATGATACATCCACGTCCATTATTTTGTATTTGATGGCTACATTTAGGTTTGCATATCAACAAAGGGTATAATTAGTTAAGAAGCACACAGCTGTATCACAGAAGGGTATGCTACAGCTACAGTATGTTGCACATGAAGGATGATATCTCAATGACATGCTTGATATGTTTGGCCACAGGAGAAATTCTCACCTTGTTATCATAACGCAGTCCATGAATTTACTCATTAAGTACATATGCACCCTTTTAGATTTAAATAAGTGGTTTGCTGAAGTTTAACTACATAAAACACTGCTGCATTTTGCTTCGAGCAGTGTCAAGTCATCACCCAAGGTGATAACATTTTTACAAATAAATGCAATTAATTCAAAATGAAGGTTACATGTTTTTTTTTTCCTTGAGCCCCTAGAATCCATACATGAACATTTTACACACACATAACCATCTTTCTTATTTTTTGTCTGAACATAAGGTTATGAGATTTAGCCCCTACCCATAGTTTTTCTAGGCTGAAACCAAAACACAAAGCAAAATGAGCATATCTAGAGGAGGCACACAAATGCAGTGCAGTGTGCTATTTGTGGCCCCATTTTATTTTCCGTCCTCGGTCACAGTTATTCACATATTGTGAACAGTCTTTACATTTGTGTGGGGATGGCACATAGTTATTAAAGGACAGGAACAAGCATCAGCATCTTTTAAACATTTTCAGATGAATGTTAATTACAACGTACACTTCTTTTTGCACAGACTGACCTAATTAAGAACCTCATTTCATTAAAATCTAATTTAATTTCTGGCAGGTTTTGTAAATGCTGCATAGTCGTGCTTTTTTTTTAAGCTAAAGATTCACAACTGTTCTAACATCTGATGTAGCTCTTGTAGTCTCACTTTGCTTTCTGGAATGTCCATTACTTATGCCTCACTCATACACAGGATATTGCTCTGCCCTGCAAATTCAAAGACCTGACTACACAGACTTTCTGTAAGCACATTTTTTTTAAAGAGCCTGCTTATTAAAACCCAGGTATTGGTTAATGATGACCCTGACACACTCATGCAAAAGTGTTTGATATGAAACATACATATACACATACACATATTACAATTAATTCACTTTTATTAAACAACAGACAACTTCTGACGTTGGATAATGAAACAAATAATACAAAAGCACGATAGAAATCACAAAAATATGTAGTTTTAAAGCACTTAAAAACATTATTTTCTCTTATTTGATGATACATTTCATTACATACTGCACTGTACCCCTTTGTCCTTTACAAAGCAACACTCTGACAAACTTATTATACAAGTCTGATTGTCATTTCTAACACTGTAGTATGGATTTCTCTAGTGACCTTTTGAATAAACCAAGGCTAAAATCTCCCCCAGTTCAGTCAGGTCCAGTAAGTTGTGAATTGTTTCCCAGAATACTATCACAGTCTAACAAGTAACACGCTGGGAGCAGCCTGGCTTAGTCAGGTAATTATTATTTTTTCTCTTTCCCAAAAGGTTACAAAAACATAACAAAATGGAGGCTACACACACTTTTCAAATAATGCACATAATGTTGTGATGCACCTATAACATCCTTTGGCAACACGCCATCTACCCAATCAACTAAATGGATTGCCTCTCTTCTCTGAGATGAGTCACTGCAAGCATAAAACACTTACATAAGTACTCATCCTCACCATGGCTTTAAACAGACATTTTTTTCTATTACAAATACTTTACAAATATACATGTATTCAGTGGACTCTAAGAAATCTGTTACATAAGATCTTGCGGCATGCGGCCTACGTTAAATAACTGGTGCACAGTCCACTGGAGTTTGTTTTTTTCCCCAACAAAAATACTGTGCTTCCTCAAACAAAGGCTGACATTACAAAGGCAGCAAATATTGAGTCCAAATATATAATAAATAATATGGCACACAGTAAGACACAAAATCTCCACCTTGAGCTAGAGTTCAAGGAAACAAAGAGGCTAAGACAATGTGGCCATCCCATCAGGGAGAGGGAGTCACCACCTCACATGTGTTCCGTAACTGGCAAGCACAAAATATCACTATTCTACTCTTTACTCAAAGGCGCTTTCAGACTAAGAACAGTTACTGCGACAGGGACGTAAAAACACATACTTGCTCAACAAGATTCTAGAACAGGGATTGGTACAACAGATTGTTCTACAAGCATATACCCTGAGTTCATTGGTTGCAGGTGAGGCTTGCTTGCACAAACACAAGGACAGTCCATCCTGTTCCCTCAGGCAGGATCACACAGACTACAATACACAAAAAGTTTAAAGGATATGGATTGATTGTGCAGATACTGCAGATCAAAACCTCATCAGAGACACCTATGGCCCATAATTAGGGCAATGTGATCAGAGCACCAACCATTTTGATCCAACATAACAATTTCTATCTCGCCAGAGCAGGTCCAGGTTAAAAACATACCCAATGGCAATTATAACATATTAATGATCAAAGATCTAAAATACTAATTAAAAGTGTTTTCTGGTTTCGCTTTAGTTTGCCAATAACTTCAGAATGGATAACCCTGTTGTCAAGAAGGCATATTAGCTTATATGTGAAAACACTGTATGACAAGCTCTTCAAGTAAGAGCAAATACGGTCTCTCCTCTCCTCTCAAGGCAGTTCATGTACTTTGTTTGCTGTGGACTGTGAGCTCCCTCTCAGAGCTAACGCTGGTAGAGGTGGTCTCCTTGCGGCTGTCCCTCGACTTCCTCTCACAGGTGGGAGAGGAGGATGTCGTGCACTCTTCCCAAGTCCGGAGAGGGAAGACTCGAGCGGTCAGGCTGGGCAGGTGAGAGTGGGCACCGAAACGTCCCTCTGTAGTGGTGAAGCAGCTCTCCACAGCAGAGCTTTGGCTGGGACGGCCCTGTTTGCAGAACATTCCGCAGAGCAAAGCCAGGAATTCCTTCCTCACACTACGGTGCATGTAACCGTAAATGTATGGGTGGAGGCAACACTGCAAAAAGAAGAGCACGAGGGCAAGGGAGGACAGCCAGGGGGGTACAGCTGCTCTGGCGCTCATTGATATAGTATTCAGTATGCTGTAAGGCCCCATGCTGAGGATATATGAAGCCATAATCACGAAAACTACACGAGCTGCCTTGCAGTGGTAGTGGAAGCGTCTGTGCCTAACTCGAACAGGGTACCCCCTGGCTGAGTAGGGGCCATCAGGTGAAGTGGCCTGCTGGGGCTGGGGCAGGGGCTGCCGTTGTGGACTGCTAGGTCCCTGGAATTCCTGTGGGCAGGGCTGAGAGTAGGACTGTGTCTGTATGGGGTGCACAAGTGCGTTTTGCCTCCGAGCTGCTCTGAACACCATCCAGTAACATCCGAGCATGATGAGCACAGGCAGCCAGAAGGAGAAGGTAGACACCACAGCAGAGTAGGACAGGCTAGAGGACCACACCACTGAGCACACGTTGTGATGGTGGTCAAAGTCAATGGCCCCCCAGCCGTAGAGGGGAGGTGTGCTCTGCAGGAAACTGAGCACCCAGGTGCAGATGATCAGGTTGGTGCCCAGGTGAGGGGTCATGCGAGTGGGATAGGACAGAGGGTGGATGATGGCCAGGTAGCGATCCACAGAGACAACAATGATGGTGTTGACTCCAGCAAATGCAAAAAGGTGCATGAGCACCACCAGGGCCTGGCACAGTCGGGCATCCAGGGGCCACACACCTGGCACGGTGGCTGCAATGGCAAAAGGCATGACTAGTATGGTCTGGAGTAGGTCTGCCAAGAGGAGGTTGAGGACGAAGCGGTTGGCCACATGAAGAAGCTGCGGTTTCCTCTGGAACACCAGCAGAACCACCACGTTCCCAAACAAGGACACACAGACGATGAGAGATATGAGCACCATCTTCACCACGCTGTTGGCAGTGGAGGACCAGACCAGGTCTTGACCGGTGGAGCCGGTAAAACCAGGCTCCCAGGGAACATCAGTGAAATTTGTGCCCACACCGGGCGCCTGAGAGCTCGGCATTGTTTGTCCAGGACCAGCGAGTGCATGTGTGACACAAAGTCAGGTCAGTCCCATCTTCATCAGCCGAGAAGGAAACCAGCTCTGGTTTTGTTGCTTCTCAGGATGCCACAACAATGAGCTGCTGTAGCCGGTCCTCCTTATTCAGTGCAGAATTCAACATGCATCTCACAGTATTCTCATGTGCATCTCATAACATGACAGTCCACGATCACCGATGAATCCCTGAACGTTTCACCCACCTAACAGGCCTTACTCTTCATGCATCCCACATCTGCCAGAATGAAAATGGAATTTGTCTTGCGACAGTAAATGCCACCGTTCAAGCATCGACTGAGACTGTCCAGACAGCGGCAAACATCGCGGATTTGCTAATCTGTAAATGATGTCTAATACCTTGAAATGATCGGTGATGCGATGCTTTAGCTCGAGGATGCTCACTCTCCTCCCGCGCTGGGGGTTTTCATCGTTTTGCTCCCATTTCAGCCTCAGCCTCCAGTCAATGGCAGCGAGCTTTTCACGGCTCAGCTAACATACGCTGTGTGTCTTCACCCAGCGGGGGTCTCTCATCCAGACGAGCGTATCTCTCCTCCGCTGCTCTTTTCGGATTTCATGGCAGATCAAACATTTATTATTTTGATCAGCTTTGATTCCTCCTCAGCAGTCTTAGGCTACTTACGGTCGGGTCTTGTCTCCGAGGTGTCAGTGAGGGGAGAAAAATTAAAAAAAAAAAAAACCAAGGACACCTGTACTGAAATCTCCTCCACCGCTGCCTGCCTAGAGCTTGTCACCGACCCCCTCCTCCTCCTCCTCCTCCTCCCATCCGTTTCCCCCCTTTTGTTGTGGATGTGCAACTGCGTTTCACGATCCTGTCTGGCACTTTTTATACATGGTGCAATCATAACATACAAACGTTTTTAAAATGTGCTTTACTGCATATTAGAAGAAAAAAAACCCACAAACATCAACTTTTCCTGTTTTTCTTTTCCTTTCTTTCTGCAACATGTAGCCATTATTCTGTTTATATGGACCATTACGAAAATCATTTGACAAGAAGTGTTTCTCTGTCTGTTGCTCCCCACAATAAAAAAAAAAAAAAGCCAGATTTTCCATTTGGCCACAGCCTGCAGTAGCCAATCTCAGCCAGTCTCCCAGATCTCCTTAGTAACAACAAGTGATTCAATCAGATGGCTGTTTATGTGATCTTCAACATAATAGCAGGGCTGTCAGGGCACAGAACAAATTGGGGCTAGGGTCAACCTCCATTGCGGGCATCTCCACAGAACACAGGTTTGGAACTGTACTGTTCAGTGAGTATACGTTTTTTAGTAGCTTTGAAGCGGATGGCACAATGAAAGCAACATATCAAAACTATAACGCATATTAGATTGTTTTAAGCTTTTTCTATTTGTCCTAAAACACAATAATTCACATTTGCTAATTTTAGTTATTCTTTTGGTGTATCACACACTAAGATTGTGTTGGCAAAACAGTCTCACCTCAAGGTCCAGTTACTACCTGAGCTTTCGATCATCATCAGCAAATTATCTTTGCTTTTGAAAGGTGCTAAATGAATAATGTTATTATGATTATTATCTTCATTAGCAGATGTAGTTAAGCACAGTTGAATCACCTGAATTACCTCTTAAAATGCTGAGTTTTGGCTTTGGGAACACCAGTTGACAAAACAATCTCACTTAAAGATCCACGTAGCTCTGGTTCTTTCAGTCATATCATTTCATTTTCATCAGCAGGCACATAAATATTTCTTCTTCTTTCTTTCTGCTCCACCTCAGATCAGCTTTCCCACCTGTTCTCCCAAGGATTCATAAGACGGAAGATATAGGACATACGTAGCCTACATTACATTTTACAGTTTTGCAGTATCTGACCTATAGTTTTACAATTCTAGAGTACTGCAGAATAATTCACATGTTATCTTAAACTCCATGCAGTTATATTCTGTCTGATCTGTACCAGACTTGTTGCATCAATACAGCTAGATTTTAACAATCCCTTTATTTACCAAACAAGCAATTTGTTTTAACTTTAAAATCTTTATTTACTGAAAAAAAAAGGAAACTGAGGACTCTGTTCCTCATTATAACAACTCTTTCAAGCTTCATTATTCAACCCCTGACAGGATGAAGCTGAGAACTAGACCCTGATTTGTTCTAAATGAGACTGAATAGATAAATAGAAACCTATTGTACTCAGCTGAAATGTATTTACATGATGATTCTATTAACACATAAAAAGCTTTCACACTTGTTGTTTATGAATATGTGGATAGCTCGGTTCTGATCAAATAGCCACAACTTGTTTGGAGAATATAGAATATGTGTGTATAAGCCACCATTTTTATTGCTGGAAATACAAAAAATGTCTTCATCATTTCTGCCTTTCTAGCAAAAAGACTTCATTAAGATGCACAGAAAACAAAAGCAGTACTACAACGTACAATCCAATTAGTCTGAGCTTACATGGCCTACTAATCAACACTCGTAATTAGTCATTTTATTTCAAGTCTTTGCTCTATCTGGGCTATCTAAAAGCCCTTTGATGTGACTCTCGAGCACCCTGTGTTTTAAATTTAGATTGCAAATGAAATACTGGTGACTGCAAAGGGATGGTGGGATGTTTCCCATGTTCTTTTGTTGAATGGACTGTGGTTCAAAGAGAGACCCACAGGCCTGCTGCCTCATGGGATTATTAGACTGTTAATAGTATGAATGTTCACAGTGGCCTCCGGTGGCCGTCCCTCTGTCTCTAGGTCTGTGATGCAGTTTCTTTCTCATTCACTGTCACTCACTGACACCTATGGGCCAACAAACTCAAACACACAAAGGGCAGGAAGGACTAGCTCTGCAAGCTCATGACTGCTGCATAGGTTATAATAGGGGCTTTATTGGGATGAGTGTAAATGTAAAGTTTTTCCAAATGTAGCCTGACAGTCTTGCATTAGCATTGTCATTAATGTAATGAAGAGAAAAAGACAAATAATACATTATATAGATACAATCAAATCCCTTAGGAGTATTGCAGCGCTGACATAGTTTCCTTTTTCTAACTTGAATTGACATCTTTATCCCTCTGTTCAGATTTTAACATGAAAAAGTCATCACCAGTCGCATTATTTAGGACTTATTCTAGGTCTGGTAGTCTTTTAATTTAAGAGATTAATGAATTGAAACAATTTTAGATGAGTTTGCTGTTGTAAGACATTTCTCCAAAATGCCACTGTTGCTTTTTGTGTTCGCTGAACGTGGAAGTATTGGCCAAAGAACCTTTTTACAGCAGCCATTTTGACATGAAATGGTAGGGTAAATACAGATGTTACCAATAGTATTAAAGGCTCCGTTCCATTCACATCGAAGTCAGTCAGGGTGCTGCCTTTGTGCATGTTGGATCACTCTAAAGGTTCTGCTACACCAAATGGAACTGAGCCTTAATCAGCATCATTAATAACACCTGTGATTACCCTACTATTTCAATGGCCCACTTTTTGCCCACTGCCTAAACACTGCCTGCTTCTGAAAAACATATCTGGGTACGTCTGCTGTTTTGGTTTAGTTTACAGTTTGCTAAAAAAAAAAAAAAAAAAAAAACAGCTCCCTCTTGCTACTGGTATCAAGAAACCACTAACAAATCTGTAACTCACCATAGTCTACCTGCCCAGAACAATATGGCAGACAAAGTTACTAATACATGGTGAGCACAGCAAATAGCGTCTAACAGATTTTCTCCGTTTGAGGTGCCGGAGAGCAGACAGAGCTGAAAGGTCAGTAAATGCTGAACTTAGATTTATCAAGTGGCCAGAAACATGTCTCAAAATGAATGCTAATGTTGCTTTGTGTCCACTGGATGTCAAATAAAAATAGTGGCAAATGTTTGCTAGCATGTTAGCCATTTTTACTTTTAGCAGTTTGTGATTTTTGGCCACCAGGGAGCAGAACAAGCTGATAGATACACAGCCCTGACATATTTCCTTATAAAAAATATTATGGCTGGTATGTTCGCAAACAATTGTGTATTACCCGCTGCCAAAAAAATTGCCTGCTTCTGAGAAAAAATATCTGGGTCCTTAGCCAGATATAGACGGTCCAACCAAAACAGAGCTAAATAGTGAGTAAATGTTGAGCTTACATTTGTCAAGTTGCCAGAAACATGACTTCAAATGAAAGATAATGTTGCTCCATGACTGCCAGATGTGAAAAAATAGGCTGTTGTTTGCTGACGTTACTAATTTTAAACTAATAATAAGCTAATATGCCATGTTTCCACTGCATGGTGCGGTCTCGACTTGACTTACTTTTGCTACCAGGTACATTTTTCTACTTTATTTTTCATTGCAGATAGTAGCACCTCAATATAAGCGGACCTGAACCTCAACCGAAGCTGTACCAAAAAAAGTCCCACGTGACGTACCAGGTACTATCCATAGAGCAAGTAGAGTCGAGCTGTACCATGCAGTGGAAACATGGCTGCACAGCCCTGACATGTTGCCTTATAAAGGTTTTATAGCTGATGTGTTAGCAAACAATTGCCTAGTTCCCACTGCCTAAAAAATGCCTGCTAGCTTAGACCTGCTAAATGCCCTTTTATTCTACACTAAAACTGTCAGTTTGCTGTTTATTGATTACACTGTCGGTCAGCTTGTTTTAATGTGTTCTGCCCTCTGCTGGTCAAAACTAGATTCATGCAGCTTTGAGAGTTTTGCTAAGGACAAATTGAGCTTGAGTGAAGAAACAGAGAGAGGATTCCTATTGACTGCCACAACCACTGACCGTCTTTATCCCTCTGCTAATACAAGCAATGCAACCACTGGCATAAACAGTGAGGGAGACCACTAGTCATACACCCAGATAATAACATCCAGAACTGTTGCAGGTGAGGAAGGGCCTTAACACTGTCTCTGTATTAGCATTCATGAGTATTAGCCATTGTTGCTAGACCAAGTTTATGGCACAATGTAACTCAAACATCAATTAACCTAATGATTTACAATAATAGGAATAAGTATAAGATTATATGCATGTACATATACGCATATATACCTGCAAATTACTGGTATACATACACATATATACTTCACTCTGTACATTAAATTCACAGTTTTTGTGCTCTTACACACACCTGCTGATTGAATAATGTAAGTATTTGATATGTATCAAAAATCTTAGTGTGGGTTTAATTCATATAATTATTTCTGATAGCATGAGAGTTCCTGCGTGGCTGCAATTTTGCCCCACACGGCCATGTCAAACCAACAAAATGAGCTTATAATGAAGAAGCTAAGGTAAGGGACAATTGTGTTAAGTCCGCCTTCAACAGTGAAATGAAAGCTACTTTCCTGAGACCAGGATTGGTTTTGAAATGCCATTTCTTGTCTTTATTAATTGGTCATCTCCATATCTCACACACAAACACATATAAAGCATGTGGATATGGTTTAGTGTTTGAAGTGAAAAGTGTGTTATATTTGATATTAAAGAGATTGCAAGGAAAATTAAGGTCTTATGACATTAAAACCATTTTCTTGTTGTCATAGAAACAGTTTTAGAGATTACAAAGAGTATGTCTTAGTGTCTCAGTCACAGTAATTTCAACAATTTTCCTTACTGATGCAATAAACAGATGTCTGATTAGCAGTAAATCAAATCATTTTGTCAGTGGAGCAGTGTTTGAGGAGGCAGGAAAAGGTCAACAAGTTATATTAAAGTCAACAGTGACGGGCTACTTTTAACTGATAATGTCACAAAAGATCAACGTTCACGCCTAGATACGGAGAGAAAAAGGATGGCATTACAGCAAAGGCTCAACA